TGGAGCATTTTGAGCATTACTTTGCTAGTGTGTGAGATGAGTGCAACTGTCTGGTAGTTTCAGCATTCTTTGGCATTGCCTTTCTTTGGGATTGGAATGAAAACTGACCTTTTCCAGTCCTGTGGCCACTGCTGAGTTTTCCAAATTTCCTGGCATATTGAGTGCAGCACTTTCACAGCATCATCTTTCAGGATTTGAAATAGCTCAACTGGAATTCCATCACCTTCACTAGCTTTCTTCATAGTGATACTTCCTAAGGCCTACTTTGCTTCACATTCCAGGATGTCTGACTCTAGGCAAGTGGTCACACCATCGTGATTATCTGGGTTGTGAAGGTCTTTTTTTTACAGTTCTTCTGTGTATTCTTGCCACCTCTTCTTCATATCTTCTGCTTCTGTTAGGTCCTTACCATTTCTGTCCTTTATTGAGCCCATCTTTGCTTGAAATATTCCCTTGGTATCTCTAATTTTCTTGAAGAGATCTCTAGTCTTTCCTATTCTATTGTTTGCCTCTGTTTCTTTACACTGATAACAAAATTATATCTGACTAAAAATGAACCCTCTGCTTTGAATGCAATAATGCACAAGAACATATATTTCAGAGAAATAGTTACACTGGATGGTTAAAATGTCTGCTTTAAGTTTCAGTTGTAAACTGTATATAAAATCTGAAGGAGCTATTTTAATAATACTTGTCATTTACATTTGAAAACCTGTTTATTTCTCCCATGAATAAAGTCATACTTTTCTGTTCTTTCTCTCCTGATTACAAACTTTTTCAAGCTGACTAAAATTTGCACATTCAATCTGACTTTTTGTCTTCTGGGAAAGTTTTTGTGACAATGACTAATCTGTTCAAAGGTGATATTGTAAGACAACAATCATTATTTAAGGAGATAACTAGGGAGATCAAAATTGGAGTAGGAGGGAGGTCCGCTCACCTCCCCCCAGGAATACATCAAAAATGGATCTACAGGTGAAGCAGTTCTCTTTGAAAACAAACTGGAGACCGGAAGGAAGACTATTATACAACGAAGATTGTAAGAAAGACCTACATGGAGTTGGCCAGGAAAGAAAGAGAAACAATCGGGTCAGGACCTGTAACACAGACTTAGAATACTCCCTGGAGAGTAAGTGGCTCAAGCCACACATTGGGCACCTCAGCCCTCAGTTTGGACACTGGGTGGATGAGTCCCCTTGGCTTGTTTGAAGATCAGTGGGACTGGCAGGGGAGCTGAGAGAAATGTGAACTCCACTCATGAAAAGTGCACACACAGGCTTGCTTGTTCTCAAAAAGAAGGAGAGGAAGAAGATTGAGACTGCCTGAGATTCTGGATGGTTTCCTGCAACTGCCCCTACATCTGCCCCAACCCAGGTCACACGCTCTGGTACCACTTGATCTGCAGCACAACCACCGACTTGGATGAAAGCTGCCACTGATGAGGAGAGTGTGCAGTTGTGGGGAACAGAACTGGCCCAGATGCAGCACTACATCTGAATGGGTCTGGGGTAGCTACTGCTGGTACTCTTGGAAGCAGCAGACTGGCAGTGGTCTGGAACCCTGGTGTGCCTGGAGGACGCAAAGGTATTCTGAGTTCATGGATTGGAAGAACATTACAGTGTCCATACTGCCCAAAGCAATCTACAGATTTAATGCAGTCCTTATCAAAATACCCATGATGTTTTCCATTTAATGCAGTCCTTATCAAAATACCCATGATATTTTCCACAAAACTAGAAGAAACAATTCTAAAATTTATTTGGAATCACAGAAGACTCCGAATAGCCAGAGCAGTCTTGGGGAAAAGGACACAGCTGGAGATATCACAACTCCCTGACTTCAGACTATTCTACAAAGTTTCTGTAATCAAAACAGTATTTTACTGGAACAAAAACAGATACATAAATTAATGGAACAGAAAAATCGAGAATGCAGAAATAAATCCATGCACTTATGGTCAATTAATTTATAATACAGGAAGCAAGAATATAGAATGAAGATTGTGTCTTCAGTAAGTAGGGCTGGGAAAACTTAACAGTTACATGTAAAAGAATGAAATTAGAACATTTTCTCACATCATACACAAAAACAAATTCAAAATGAATCAAGTACTTAAATGTAAGATCAGAAAACATAAAATTCATAGAAGAAAACAGGCTCAAACAGCCTTTGACCCACACTGTATCATTATTTTTATTTTTTTGGATCTGTCTCCTATGGAAAGCGAAACAGAGCCAAAAATAAACAAATGGGAACTAATTAAACTAAAAACTTTTGGACAGCAAAGGTAATCAACAAAATGAAAAGACAGTCTATGAATGGGAGAAAATATTTTCAAATGATATAACCAATATGGAGTAAACACCCAAAATATATAAACAGCTTATACAACTCAATATTAAAAAGCTCAAATCAATTAAAAAATAAGCAAAAAAAATGAACATTTTTCCAAAGAAGAAATACAGACAGCCAACAGGCAATTGAAAAAATGCTCAATATCACTAATCATCAGAGAAATGCAAATCAAAACCACAATGAGGCATTACGTCAGTTCAATTCAGTTCAGTCGCTCAGTTGCGTCCGACTCTTCATGACCCCATGGACCATATAGTACGCCAGGCCTCCCTGTCCATTACCTCACACCTGTCAAATTGATGAAGCCATCATGGAAGATACTATAGAAAAAACTAAAGACAGGACTGCCATATGATCCAGCAATGCCACTGCTGGGTATATATCTGGAGAAAACAAAAACACTAATTTGAAAAGATATGTGCACCCCAATATTGATTGCAGTATTATTTATAGTAGCCAAGATATGAAAGACACAAACTATACATCCATTAACAGTTTAATGCGTGTGGTATGTATATAGAATGGAATATCCCTCAGCTATAAAAAATAATGAAATTCTGCTACTGACAACACCATGCACCTGGAAGGTGTTATGCTTACTGAAATACCAAACACTGTATTTCATCACTTACATGTTGAATCAAAAACTAAAAAAAAAACTAATGAATACAACAAAACAGAAAAATACTCATAGATATAAAGTACAAACTCATGGTTACCAGAGGGACTAGGGGAGGGGAAAGACAGGGGTAGGGGATAAAGAGTTATAAGCCACTATCTATAACAAATAAAATATACAAGTTACAACAGTATATTGTACAGCACATGGAATACAGTCAATACTTTATAATAATGTTATGTGGCGCATAAGCTATGATAATACTGAATCACAATGTTTTACACTGAAATTAATATAATATTGTAAATCCTCTATACTTCAGATTTTTTTTCAAGGCTATAAATGTAAGATTTTTGCAATTATTTAATCTGAAGTAACTGAATACAAAGCATGGAAATGAAGATATATGTATATGCATACATACATACATTTTATTACATGTAAAGATATGTGACCAAAGGGATTTTATCAATAGTTTAGTGGTTCTGAGGAGACACTTGGGAATTGGACACATTTGGGTAAGAGTCTACGCTCTAAATTTTTAAAACTTCAGCTTTTCCTGATGCTTCAACATCCTCATGAGCAGGCTCTGGGTCCCCCTTCCCAGTGACCAGGCGCACCGGCACAGTAAAGCTGGGCTCTTCCACAAGTTCCCCTCATTGGCCTCCTCTGACTGACCTGGGACATTACAACACGCCAGTGAATTCCCTCACCTCTTTGGCTGTACTCTCGGCCTGACCCCCAGCAGAGGCACTTGCCCACAGAGCCTCTCTCCCTCCTCCCCACCGTCTTGCTCAGCTCACTCCCATGGCCCCCCTCCAGTGTGGCCCTCTGCGTACGGCACAGCATGGCGTAAGACAGAGTGCCTCTCTCTTCTGGGACTCATGGGCATCGTAAATCACTTTCACCTTGATATGCCTCTCCGTGATGTTATTCCATGTCTACAGCAGACTGACCATCAAAAAATTCCATTTTGAGTGACATAATTATTCCTCACAATACAGAGCCCTTGCTCGGTCTCTTACTATCTGTGAGACCTGGAGTAAGTGATTTAGCACTGTTTCTAAAATACATTGAACCTGTATTTTAAGGTTAAGACATTGCTTTAGTATCATCACGCATATATAGTGCTTAGCTTGGAGTTTAATGCTTGGAGATTGCTGAATAAAAAGCAATTGTTACTATTGCTAAAATATTAGAAAGCAGAAAGAAAGTAAGAAAGGCAAACAGACTTGTGATGAGGAAATATGGCAATTTTTTATACTCAGGAACAATAGCATCTGTGAATGAGAATAACATACTGGAATCTTAAATAGTTTTAGGAGAAGCTGTGATTTCAAGGTGCTGGCATAATGGTAAGGAACAAATGCAGGGTGATGGTGCTTTTGAGTAAGGCTCTTGAACAGCCTTTGTTCAATGTGCCTCAATCCCAAGAAGGCCTGGAACGCACCAAAACCTTCCTGATGTGTGGGTTTTAGCTAGGAAGAACTTTGGCTATTTAGCTATGGAAATCATAGTATAGATATGTTTCCAAAATCAAACTTTCTTGCACATGCCTAGTCCTTGCATGAACAGTATGGCACCAGTGACTGTGAGATAAGCGATTTTGTTCATATAGATGATGATCAGAAAACCAGCATGCAGAAAACTCATATATTGCCTGGCTTCATAGAAAGAAAATACACAATCCTCATCCAATGTGAAACATGGTGTGAGAATACATTCAAGAGAACAAGGAAGAGGGGAAACGTGACCACTGGCTATGTTTTGCAGAGCAATATAGAGAAAACCTCAGTTACTTTGTAATTTTAAAAAAATTGAAATATGCAGTATAATGCAATGAGGAGACAGAATGGACTAAGAATGAAGGGCACAAGTTCTGGAATTGATGAAATTAATAAATGTATTATTAAATCCTCAACAAAGTGCAGGAAAAAAAAATAGGCACTCATAAGTTAACCCTTGGTTTAAAATACCCAGAATGGGCTCTAGGAGCCGCGCAGAGACCCTCTGCACCCGTGCGCACATGGCGCTGCAAGCGGTGCGGAGCGTGCGGGCCGCGGTCGGCACCCTGCGCGCCCTGGTCGCCGCGGCCCTGGGGACTGCGGGCAGGTGCCGTCCGGGCACTGCGCACCGGCCCTCCTCTGCTGTCGGTGCGGAAATTCACAGAAAAACACGAATGGGTAACAACAGAAAATGGTGTTGGAACAGTGGGAATCAGCAGTTTTGCACAGGAAGCTTTGGGAGATGTTGTTTACTGTAGTCTGCCTGAAGTTGGGACAAAGTTGAATAAACAAGAGGAGTTTGGTGCTTTGGAAAGTGTGAAAGCTGCTAGTGAACTCTATTCCCCTCTATCAGGAGAAGTAACGGAAATTAAAGCTCTAGCAGAAAATCCAGGACTTGTCAACAAGTCTTGTTATGAAGATGGTTGGCTGATCAAGATGACATTCAGTAACCCTTCAGAACTAGATGAACTAATGAGTGAAGAAGCATATGAAAAATACATAAAATCTATTGAGGAATGAAAATGGAACCCCTAAATAAACTACTTTGAAACAACTTAATCTAGCATAGTTGTCTTAAATTAGTGGTGGATAGATATTTAAAAAGCAACTTTTAGCAAAAGAAACTACTTGTAACAATGTTTCCTGAAGAAAATACTTTTCTAAAATACTTTCTAATGCCTTCAGATAAACACTGTATCTTTTCCACAGCATCCTGTGATTTTTAGGCTAGGCTCCAGTTATACTATTCAGAATTCCTGAAATTATCTCTGATAAAACTAATTACAAAAATTATGTAATTCAAGGATAACATGGTTATCTTATACCTTATATGACATTGTAACTTGCTTACAGCTATCCTTGGATTTGGGTCAAAATGATCTTCCCACTAGAAATAACTGGCAGTGGAGAAAAGTTTGTTAGTTGTATAGTGTCCAGTGAAGAATATTACTGTCTTAACTTTGCAATATACTGTGTTTGCTGGTGCTATTTTTATACAGTGAAGCAACAGCCTTGCAGGAGAATAAACAATTTAATAATAAAATAAAAATAGAATAAAAATAAAATACCCAGAATGATCAAAATAAAGTCTAAGTTCTAGAGATTTGGTTTCTGATGACATAGGAAAACCAAAATACCATCAACCCCATGTGTAATGCTAAGTCTATTACACTTGCTAATGCATATTTACTTAATCATAAAAATTCATTTTTTAACCTTAAAATGAATGGAATCAGAAAAGGAAGAAGAAAGAGAACATTAATTAGTTGGGTCTCAGTGAGCACCATAGTAAGACACTGTCATGCTGATCTTACTTATTACCCAGCAGAAATTCAGCTGGTCATGTTCACGGTACTTAATTCATGGCTATAGATGATAATCTTTCTCACCAAGGATGAATCAGTCCAATTGGCCAGTAATAGCAAGTCTACAATGATTTCTAATCATCATACAAAGACCACAGTTTTGTTACGTGAACTGTTTAGAACATTCAAAACTCCCAATAAAAGCCTCCTGTACACACAAATCCAGTTGAATTAAGGTGATTGAATCACATCTATTCATAGTTAGCAAATATTTAAGGAAATTAAAATTATTGTTAACAATTCTTAAAAAATTGTGTCATGGTTATCTGATAGTCCTTTTCTGACTGATCACTTCTAGGTGCAAAGTGGTAGAAATATACTACTCAGACTGATACTACTCTCACACAATTTACTACATAAAAATGAGAATGCAAGAACTGTGTGATGTTACCCCAAAGTCCAGGCTGATAAAGAATGAGAAATACAAAGACTCCAAAGTCTGACCTTTTGGTTATATGTTACTTTTTGCCTACATACCCACGTTACTATATGTTATTTTATAAATGATTTCTATGTTTAGTAAAATTTCAAAAGTATATTTAAAGAATTATTTTTTAATGTAGCTTTCATATGAAATGCTCAGAGATTTTACACGTTTACCAATGCCAACTCCTTATGGGCTTGGTTTTGTTCACCTCTTTTGCTACTTTCCATCATCAGCTAAAGAATTATGGAGTCAGCATGTTTAGAGCAAGCCCCCCCCCCCCCCCCCCCAGTCTCACACAAGCATAATGCCTTTGAAATCGAAATGAACTTTTTTAAAATGGCAGAGTGATTTATTTGCTGACTATACTTTAATAAGAGCAAGTAGATTTATGTTGTGAACTAAAGAGAATAATTTATAGCTGGAAGATCAAGTAATTTAGAAATCAGTGTCATTGAAATGAGGATTGATGACCAAGGCAAATCATCTCACAGATTTTCTATTTCTACTGTTACTTCTCCTACCACTGTGTATGCTTACATAAAAGAAATGATTAAGAAATAGACAATAAATGTCAAGAGCAGTTACAAAATGGAGTGAGTGAAGGAATGAGCCCAGAGGAAACCATCTTTTTCTTCATGGGCTGTTCACATGGGTCCTATCCTTTTAGGCTGGACCTTATCTACTGTTTTGTCAGCACCTTACCAATCTGTTTCCAAGGAAACAAATCACATCATTCTAAATATACCAAGGAAAACTGTGAGAATAATTTGTACTTTCACTTGTATTCTTCTTTTAAAAGCAACAAAGGAAATTTAAATTAAAACCATAAAATAAATATTTCAAACTAGAGATTGGCTAAATATTGATGCTGAATTCCTGGATATTTGTAGATGTTGGGAGAGAATTTTTATATTAAGTTATACTTCTGAGGAAGGTTTCTATGAGGTAGACTCATCATCTATGAACAAATCTACTATAACTTAAATTCACAAAATATATGGAAATCAAATATATCCTGTGACTTGAAGCCCTGTGTGTTCATCTGACAAATATCTATTGTATACACAGCAGTTATTAGATGTATCTGAGAAAAACATGACAAGTTAGACACGATCTCTGTTTAATAAAACAGGAAAAAAATATAAAGCTAATTTATACAAAAATTTCTAAACAGTTTGTTTTTGTGTCTATTCATTGACACAAATAATTATGAGGAGATAGGAAGAAAGGTTGGGTTCATAAAATTTCAAGTGTTTTTTTAAAAGGTGGTAAGTGAATGGTAAGAAATGTACTAATTAATAAGATATGCCAAAGTTGCACTTCCTTGGTGACTTAGAGGTAAAGAATCTGCCTGAAATTCAGGAGACGTAAGTTGGATCTCTGGGTCAGACATATCCCCTGGAGAAGGAAATGGCAACCTACTCCAGTACTCTTGCCTGGGAAATCCCATGGACAGAGGATCCTGGCAGGCTACAATCCATTGAGTCACAATAGTCGAAAAGGATGTAGTGACTAAACCACCACCACCATGCCAAAGTTAGTCATTTCCACTAAAAATATTTTAAAATGGGAGAAAGGAAAAAAGAGACATTTCCTGAATGCTAATTATTGCATTATCTCATTTAATTATTTTATAGATGAGAAAATGAAATCAGAGAAAGGCTAAGTGAAAAGATAATAGACATTGAAGCAGGGATTGAAATTTATGTACTGTAATGTCAAAATTGAAACAATATAATTCTCCAAAGCTCAGTCTGATCAAACTCTCCTGGGCTCTTCACATACAAATATCCCGTGACCTCTTCCACAACATCTTTGTACACAAAGATAGCCAATCACACAGCACATACTGGGGTGATCAGTAGACCGGAGAAGAGCCTTAGATAACCTTGACAACTTTCCAAGCACTGGCAAGGCATGAAAAACTACTGCCAACCAAAGTGATTACAGGTTTTTACTATGGAATTGGACATTGGAGGGACAGAACAAGTAGGGAGAAGAAATGTGTGCTTTTAACATCAAGGGATTTCAACATTCAACTGGATCATTAACTTTGACTTTAAACTGACCTGGAATATATTTAAATGAAGAAAATAAATACTGCTACTGACTAGAAAGAGTGACCCCTTTTACGCTCATCTGTAAAATCATTCAATAGTTTTCAGTTACATCTGATATTGGCCATCTATTCATTTTTGCTGAGTATACAACAAAATGAACCAGGATGAATAAATTGGTTTTTGCAGTAAGTGGAATAATGTATCCCCATTATTAGAGGAATAATCATTATTAGAGGAATAATATCTCCCCATTATTTTATTTATTAAAACTAATACATTAGTTTTTGTAGTAAGTGGAATAATGTCTCCCCAGTAAAGATGTTCAGGGCTTCTCAGGTGGCTCAGTGGTAAAGAACCTGTCTGTCAATCCAGGAGGTGCAAGAGACTTCGGTTTGATCCCTTGGTCTGGAAGATCCCCTGGAGAAGGAAATGGGAACACACTCCAGCATCCCTGCCTGGGAAATCCCATGGAGAGAGGAACCTGGTGGGCTATAGTACATCGGGTAGCTAAGAGTCATCATGATTGAGCAAACACACAGCAGAGATATTCAAAACTTGTGAATATGTTACCATATATGACAAAGAAGACTTTGGAGATATGATTAAAGGTAAATACTTTGAGGTGGGAGATTGTTGGTTTTGTTGTTCGGTTGCTAAGCCATGTCTGACTCTTTGTGACCCCATGAACTGCAGCACACCAGGCTTCCCTGTCCTTCACTATCTCCTTGAGTTTGCTCAATATCATGGGCATTGAATCAATGATGCCAACCATCTCATCCTCTGTTGCCCTCTTCTCCTCTTGCCCTCAGTCTTTCCCAGCACCAAGGTCTTTTTCAATGAGTCAGCTCTTTGCATCAGGTGGCCAAAATATTGGAGCTTCAACATCAATCCTTCCAATGAATATTCAGGACTAATTTCCTTTAGGATTTGTCAAGAACCCTCAGGCCCTTATTGATTCCTGAATATTCATCTTGTTGGTCCTTTAATGGACCGGAACCTGGTGGTTCCGAGAGTAAGAGAAAGAGAGAAAGAGAGAAGGAATAGAAAGAAAGAAGAAAAGAAAGAAAGACGCAGGGACCAAAGCTCTGATGGAGCAAAGGTGTTTTTAATCAACATGGCATGGGCATATATACTGTCTTACAAGGTGGTTATTCTCAGCAAAGACAAAGACGAAAATTCCAGACTTACAAAACATAAGATGATCCCTATCAAAGAGAGAGTTGCAAACGATCACCTTTTACCATTTGGCTCCTAATAAGGAAGAGGGTACTTATCACTGTAATGAGAAACGCCTGGATTCCTCAGTCCCGGGAAAGGCGTGCCTCTCCTCTTAATGCCTGAATATTCAGGAATCAATAAGAGCCAGAGGGTTCCTGACAGATCCACAACAGCACACAGGAAGCCTCTTGTTAAATGCTTCCTGACAAGGATTGACTGGCTTGATCTCTTGCTGTCCAGGGACTCTCAAAAGTCTTCTCCAGTTCCACAGTCTGAAAGCATCAATTCTTTGATGCTCAGGCCTCTTTATGGTCCAGCCCTCACACCCATACATGACTAATGGAAAAACCATAGCTTTCACTATATGGACCTTTGTCGGCAAAGTGATGTCTCTGCTTTTAAATACAGTGTCTAGGTTTGTCATAGCAACTCTTCCAAGGAGCAAGTGTG